TATATAAATACTATAAAACTGAAAAGTAAAATAGTTAAATTATAATAGTTAAATAGTAAGTAGTCAAATAAATAAAAATAAAATTAATAAATAAAGTCATTTTTCAATCTATAAGTTCCTTTTTTGCTATTATTTTAAAATCAATTACAAAATCACGATTTACTTATATAATAATCATTTATACTATGCATTACCAAACTTTAATAAAAACTTTTTTTATAAACAACCTCAAAATAAATATCAAAAATTTTGCAATGCCTATGTATATTACAAATAAGCAATACTTTGTGACTCTAAGCCAAATCATTAGAGAATAATGTAAAATGTATAGAAGCTTGAAGGGAAGTTAAAAAAAATGATACTGCCTTTATTGAAGATAAAATTTGTGAATATTATAACACTACACCTTCCACTATTCGCTCTCATCAAAGAATTTTTATGTCACGTAATTCAACTAATAATTCTCATCAAACCTCTACTCCATCTACTCCAAGATAATTTGTTGGATTTATTGATATTACAACAATACCGACAAATGCTAAATCACAATATATTGCAGCTGAAAAGATCAATTCAGCTGCAAAAAGCCTAGCTGAATATCAACAAATGATAGAGATTGTTACAGATGACTTAATGAAAGTTTTGTTATCGTCTAAGATAATTGAAGAACAAAAAATATATCAATACATAATGTACAGTTAATAAAACTGAAACGTCATGTTAAAGCCCAATCAAGGCTAGCAACAAAAAAGCAGAAATTGCTAGAAAAGGATATTGTAGAAAAATATGATACTTTAGGAAAACTATCCACAGCTATGAAAGATCCAGATCTATGAGATAAAATCAATGATAATGTTGAATTTGGAGTTGCTCATGCTAAATGAAGAAAAGTGATCATAAAAGTTAGGACTGTAAAGCATTTACGTGAAACTCTAGAAGAAAAATATAATACTTATCTATCTCGTCAATGCTTATCAACTTATCTTCAACCTGAAATCAACGTATCTTTGTTGCACATCATTATCATCATTTAACAAAGGTTGGTCTCGCCTCTATATCATAGACAAAAATGAAACCTCATATTAATGAACATTACTGTCTAGCTTCCATCAAAGCCGCAAGAGTATTTGCTGAAGTTTTTGCTAATAAAGTGATTATCATCTCTCAGGATAATAAGGAAAAGTCAGATTAGCATTCCTGCAGATAGTCGCACATTTAAAATAATCCAGTTAGTTAATAAACCAATAACTGTCAAAGATCACGATTTTCCAACTGGTTCAAAAATAAAACACATACCTTCCATTTATTTAGTCATTAATCTAGCTGATTCAAGTAATACCTTTTGTACTGGTCAGCTTTTCATATCCATTAGACCAGAATAATTTATTGGAACTTTATCAATAACCCATATAGTAGATTTAGAAAATATCATTTTAAATGAAGAGTTTTCCACTATCCTATAGAAAGAAGGCAAAGTTAGACCTATTTGGATTCTTCTTGTTGATAGTGAACCTGATGAAAACCTGAGGCATATGAAAAATATTATTCATTATGCTCACCTTTTTCATGCTCTTGATCTGAACTACTTAACAATTCGTATTCATACTCAAGGTCAAAATGCATATAATCTAGTTGAACGCAATATAGCTTCTTTGTTCACAAAACTTGTTAGTATCACTCTACCTATGAAGGAATTCAGATCACATCTAAATAGTTAAGAGAAAGTAATAGCTGAAGAATTAGTATGACAAAATTTTGAATATTCAAAAAAAACTATGTAATATATGGAAAAGGAATGACATATATGAAAAACCTGTGATGGTGAAATATGTCGACCAGGAGAGACATCCATTTAATGATCCTAAGCCTTTAATATTGTAGGAGTAGATTGAGGATCATATGCAGATATACCGCTATTCACTAGATATAAGAAATGTAAAATAATGAATGTTGTGATATATACAGAGCTTCAGATATTACCATCTTTTTAAATAAGAATAATAGATTCCTTCTTCCAATTATAAGAAAAAGATTATCACTTCATCAACATAATTCACATTTTTTAATATTACGATAAACTCAAAATTCTAAAGTACGATAGCTGTTGCTCTTCAATTTTATGAAAATTACATTAGCATTTATATTGTAGCATATGTGGCAAATATTTTCCAACCCTCAAGTTCATAAGTGATCATAAGCGTAATGTACATTCTAAATATCACAATAAGAAATCAAAAAACCCTCAAAAACAAGTTAAGAGATAGAGATAGGTTGTATACTTATTCTATTCAATCTAAATTTTAACGTCGCTAAAAATATAGTTCAAAGCAAAGGTATAGGACAACTTGAACAGAATTATTGCAAAGTTCAGTCGAACAAAAATTAAAAAAAAAAAGTTAGTTTTATGTGATGATGTAATAATTTCAGACACTAAAATATCCTTACATATAATATGTGACTCCATCGTATCGTGATAAAATATAGAAATTGAATAAAATAATAAAATTAATAAAATGTTTTTTTTGATTGCACTCAGCATATAAATATTATAATTCTGGCCAATTATTTTATTACAATTGTATTCGGCATGTGATTTTTACCAATATTTCTAGCCAAATCGAACTGACTAATCATTTTATATTGAATATATCACAATACTATAACCATCTGATATAAAGACTGATCTCCACCTCCCTTTTAAATCAGTTGATTTCTGGCATGTATCTAAGGAATAAATAAAGTTAAATATAATTTTGATAATTAAGTAAATTAGTTTTGTCATTTGTCATTTATAAAAAACTAGTTTTATTATTTTAGTTTTATCAGTTTCATCATATTAAGAAAGGTAATTTCATCAGATATAAAGATAGTTTCCATAATTATTTTTAAATTTTAATTGAGTTACAACTTAATTGCGCTATAAGAAAATTTAATTGCATCACAAGTTGCAACTCAATTGTGTTATTTTTTAATTATAATACCTATCTTTAATCAGGTATCACTAAGTGAAATACTTTTCTTGTATACTAATAAATAGTTATAAATGAAATAGAAGTAAAAAATCATTGGAATAGTTCTTTATAATCTTATCCATAAACATAGCTTATAATTTCTTTATTAACACAGTCATCACTTCAGTAAAAAAATACATACCTAAAGAATAATCACAATATAATTAGTTAAATTTCTTAGCTGTATCCTAAAAGTTCTTAATATAATTGAACTTATAATGAAACTTGGGATAAAATATAATTTAATATCTAGCTGCAATAATAGCTTCTTCTAATTATCTTTTTGTGTTAAAAAGTTTGATTATTAACTCATTACTTTTTATGCTTCTTCTAATTTTAACCCTTCATTTAGCTATAATCCTCTTTCTATTAGAACTTATTTTAATCTTTTTAATTATCCATTTAATTTAGTAATATAATAATTTAATGAAAAGATTATATTTTATCGAATCCCTTTATCAAAATTTATACTGCATATTTTTCGTTGATTTTCATTAGAGTTAAAATTCATATGCTTAGTAATAAATATATTTGGAAAAAAGCAATGTGACTTAATGCATTATCAAATGCAAACAAATTCTAGCATCCTGGAAAATATGCTTTAAATATAGGAATAGTATATTCAACTACTTGATTTACCAAGTTATCAGCTTTTTATCATCTATCATTATTTTTTGCTTAAGTATATAATAATATTAGAAAAGTTATCTAATACTTGCATTTGTCAGAAAATGTAAGACAACCATAAAAATCAGTTAAAAAATCACTATAAGAATTTAGCAACTGTTACTTTTTTGTAAGAGTTATTTGCTATTAGGAATTTAAAAGTTCTAACTTTCATATAAGTCAAAAAATACACTCATCATATGTGATAAGAATAAGTTTTTGTATATCAGATTATTTTTCCAAATTGTCTCCTGAAAAAAAATAGGTATTCTATACTCAAAATTATTCATTTATTCTAAAAATATTTTCCTATAGGCCACTACAGCTTCTCTTTCAAGTCTGTCTATATATATAATATATTTTTTTCATTTCAGCATATTTATATCCAAGTTCTTTCAAATAGTTTCTTGTAGTATTAATATGATACAAATCCAAATCCTGGAAAAATAATTTAGTTTATTTATATCATTAGCATCTGTAAAATAATATCCTACTAATGTTCTCAAATACAGCTACTTCCAAAAGTAATGTAACACCTAATATTTTAACTTTAAAAACTTATAACTCATTATATACCCATGTTAAAAATATAATTTTACATTTATTTTAATTTTTAAATCTTTGAGAATAACCAATAAAAATTTGAAGTATGATTATTAATACCAGTTTTACGCAATTTTTTGATTAATATAAACATTTTTATTACATAAAATTTCAGTGTTAGAAAAATTTTCAGTAGGTCAGCTACTAAAAAACTGATACTGGATTCTGATTCTCTTCAATACAACGATTCCAAAAAGCTAAAATTCGTTAAAATTGAATCAGTTTTTTTTTTAAGATGATTTCAGATTGAATGGTCGATTGTGCTCTAAGCCTCTTAAAATGAGTAGGTAGGTGTTCTCATAGAGTTTTAGCGTTGAATCACCCTTAAGTGTTGATCTCATTTTTCAGAGGTCTCTGTCACCGAAACACATCCCTTAAGTTGTGTCAACTAAGGTATGACATCCTAAACTGACATATCCCATTTATGTGGAGATGATATCTCAGCAACTCTGATACTGTTAAATTTAGATAGAGGGTACATCGCAGTCATAGCGAATATTATCACTACCTTATCAATGGTCTAATGAACTATAACTAAGATCCAATTACTTGGTTTGGCTTTATCACTACTATATAGAGAGCCGTAGGGTTCATGGAAAAGTACCACAAAATTTGCCCAAATGGAGATCTCCAGTTGTGCATATAGATCACATCAACCAGATGATTTTGATACCCAGAACGTCAAACAATTCAGGAATCAAACCTGACCTCTAACCCTAGTAACAGCACGATTTGGGCCAGTACTGCAGTGTGCAATGCAGTCTAATTATTACTGGTTTGTTACCTAATCTACTAATGTTTGGTC